TACAAAACGAGCTGATCTTCATAACCCCTAGACCCTAAAATCTAAACCCTGAGCCCTAAACCCTGAGCCCCAACCCTAAACCCGGCAGCCTGTCCGGAGGTTGCCGGTCGAGAGTCTGGGGCTCTTTCTCACAGAATTCACGGTGCAGGGCCTCTCTTGAAGAGCTAGTTTTATGCGATGTACGGGTCGAGCTTCGGATTTCGGGTTAGGATGCCTGTATCGAACAGTGGTTGAGGATTTAAGGCTCTGTGCGCGTAGGGTTTCAGCGCATGTGACCCACGGCCGCGCCCCGACATGTGCAACGGATTTCGTGGCAACTTTTTGCAACGCAGAAGGTGCGCCACGAAAATAATGGGCAACTGAGGCTGGATAGGAGTCGCTCGACAATCAACACCACAGCCACTTTCAACTCCTGACCAGACCCAGATGCTGTGTGCCTTGGAGTATTTGTGAAACGGCGGCTTCGGCCACATGTGACGGATTTTCGGTTTCGGGTTCAGACGTGTTAGGTCTAAGCCCCAAAGCCGAGAAACCCTAATTAAACTCGAGACCTTGAACCCTAAACTAAACACCCCAAACCCCTAAACTCTAGACCCAAAACCCTAATACCACTCGAGACCTTGAACCCTAAACTAAACACCCCAAACCCCTAAACTCTAGACTCTAGACCCAACCTGTAACTCTCATTACCTACGGTTTAGCAGTCATTACCCCTAGTATGTAGAACCCATAAAACTGCAGGTAATTAGAGTCCCAGGAAAACCCTATCCGTCACCGAACCAGCGCTTGTAGGCTCGGACGCGCGGATGGTTCCTTAGGAAGATTCCGCGACTGCGGAGACGTTCTTGGTCTATGGTTTAGGGAGTTTAGGAATCAGGCGCGATAATCTAGTTCTGATTTATAGTAGGTACGAAAGTACAAATATCAATCTAGTTCGACATGAAACACCATCATACTGGCCCCAACTCCTGCACACACCCTGAACCCTGAATCTCATCAGAGAAGTTTGGGCCCAGCTGCTCCCCTTCGTAACCAGAGCGGAACTCGCCAACCTGCTGATTTGGCAGGGTTGGGGTTTAGGTTTCAGGGTTGAGATTCAACACGATTTGCGAGGTTGCGCCATTATCACGCCGTCTTCTTCGAGTATTCTAGTTCCACAGCGCGTTCGTTGCAAACCTATCAGAAAGGATCCCAAGAAGCTACCAACACGCAGAACCACCATCCTTGTCTCTTCCGGCTTTCGAAGACGACAGACGTGGAGACTTCATTTCGCCAGCACACCTCGCCTATATAACTTAGCCTCCAAGCAAGCAAGCTTAGACCCGAAACCCCAGACCCGGACCCTAGCCACAAGCTGTCTGAAGCCTTAGCCTAGGGTTTAGGGTTTAGGGTTTAGGGTTTAAGGTTTAAGGTTTAGGGTTTGGGATTTAGGGTTTAGGGTTTAGGGTTTATGCTCTGAGGCGCCAATCGCAAAGCCCGAGTCAGACCTCAATCCTGCGACGAACATGGGGCATGCTGAAAAGGCGAGCTGCCTTCTAGGCACCTTACTTGGGCAGGGCCTTGCCCCAAACTCGGACCCCGAAACAGGACCCAGATTCTGACCAATGCCAGAAAGTCGGGGCACCTCGTAATCGAAGTCGAAGATGCCATCGCGATCCAGGTACAGCTTGCCGCCATGCTTCCCGAAAGGTTGCTTCATGAACCTGGGGTTTAGGTTTAGGGTTTAGGGTTTAGGGTCTAGGGTTTCGGGGTCACAGGGTTTGGGGCGCAAGGCCCGACGGCCCTTGCAGTGTGGAATAACATCACCTGGCCAACGAGGGATTGTGCTTATGGCTTGAGGGCTTCGTTTTTTGCCGCGAACTTGCATGACTACGCAACTGGATCGGTTAATACCTCCGCCCGCGGACACCAGTCCAAACCAATTTGCGGAAGAGCTTTTGGCAAGAAGCAGGATGGCACAACAAACATGGGAGGCAGGACGACAAGCATCGTCACGGTCAACAGCAACGGCAGCGCAAAAGGCAGCAGGCGAAACCAAAGCCAGTGTCGGGAACAGCAGCTGGGTCAGCATGCTCAAGGTTACCAGCCGACATGATCACTGTTGTCCCTTCCTCGCTGCGTGATAGCATTATTCTCTTCACGACAAACATACCTGCGTTTAGTACTGATGTAACAGTTGCCGCTCGGTAGTATGATTAGGAGCAGCAGCAGCAGTCTTGTTCGTTGCAGGACATGATGCTGCATCAACAGCAGCCAACAGCACCCAACTACCGCTCAGCAAGGATCCGACAAAAGGCCTGGCCTCGGCAAGTCGTGGGTGTTCTGGGACCAGGAGTCTCCGTTGGGGCGGATGACGAAGCCTTCCGGCTGCAGCCCGTAATGGTCGCGGCCTGCACAGATACGCTCCCACATGGCAAGGCCACCCAAGCTCTATCAACACCGAAGGCTAAGTTTAAGTACTCACTGGTGGAACCTCCATGCGACCCTCTGCCACACCCAGCGACGTGTACTGCATGAAGATGAGGATTAAGAATTCCTTGCCTTGAGGGAAGATGTAGATGAAGTAAGTTTAAGTACTCACTGGTGGAACCTCCATGCGACCCTCTGCCACACCCAGCGACGTGTACTGCATGAAGATGAGGATTAAGAATTCCTTGCCTTGAGGGAAGATGTAGATGAAGTCCACCACACTGCCTCCAAGGAGCACATGTCAAAGGTCGACCCGAAGAATGGAGGTCAGCTTCAGGGCTTAGGAAAGTTTAGGGTTTAGGGGTTTAGGGGTTTAGGGTTGGCCTCTGGGCCCTACGCCTACAACTCGGGCGTGTAAGATTTGGCCCCGGCGCTTGACGGGAGTTTCAGACCCCTAGCCGGGATGGTCCGGCTCGCTCGTGCTATGCACTGCCCGGTGTGCTGCCAAAAAAACAAGGAGTTTCTGCAAATCGGGTGCATTCTATTTATTCAGGAATCACGCCAAAAAGGGCCCTCATGTCGGATCCACAATACCTTCCCTTGACAAAGCTTCTACAGCTGCCAGCGAGAGCACCCAAAAGCACTGGCTTGAGTCCCCTGCAGATCCTGCTGTAGAAAGAAGGATTTCGGACGCACTCAATCAGCTACCGAGCTCGAAACCTGAATTGAGACTGCCCCCAAGAATGCGACTGAAACCCTTAACCAACCCGCCAAGCCTAAAGCAAAACTAGTTTCAATCCTCACGCGCATACCGTAAACCCCTCAACCAGAAACCAACACCTCTAGAGCTCGAGCCCCTACTATGTTGGCCTCCTTCATTAGAACCTGATTTACGGAGAAGTAAAGGTCTACCTCAGGACTCGTTTAGGGAGTATGGGGTTTAGGGTTTAGGGTTTATTGTCCCCTCCACCGAGGTTCTTCGGGTTTGGCGCCTGTCGCTTTCACCTGAACTTCGGCGTCGCCCAGCTCTCCTACGATGCAAAGAGACAAAGGGTCTCAGGGGTTTAGTGTTTAGGATTTAGGGGTTTAGGGTCTTTAGGGCGTAGGGTTTAGGGAGTCTTGGTGCAGTAACCCCTTATAGGAACCATTACCAGCTTGGGGGGGTCCGTTGTAGCACCTTTTTTGGGGAGACTTTCTAGGATCCTAAAGACAAAACCGGCAAGAACAACACAAAGAAGGGAACCACAACGGAGACCATAGGCATCGTAAGCCCTGAGAAGATCCCCTAAAGGAAGCCTTATAGAGGGTTTAGGGTTTAGGGGTTTTTTTTTTAAATGCAGTAGCCCCCTTTCTCTCGCACGAAGGTCAGAAGACTCGCTCATATGAGCGTGCACTGTTCGAAAAACTAATCAACCTCCTCTGCTACATTAAACTCCACATCGTCTGCTTCACAGGGTTTAGGGTTTAGGGTTTGGGGTTTAGGGTTTAGGGTTTAGGGTAGATCCCTTAAAGGAAGCCTTGTAGCGGCAATCCGCTGGAGCCCATCATGTAGGGGCCTAAATAATTGCCAATACTATTTTTTTTTGGTGGGGGTCCTTATTGACATGTCACAAATAGTATAATGGGCCTCAAAACCCTATTCTAATTATTCAGGCCCCTATATTAGTTGTTTGGACGACTTTGCTTGGATGCCTTGATCCCTGCAAGCCGTCGCCTCGACAAGTCTTTGTGGTTTCGGGGCTTCTTCACAGTTTATAAAAACAGAAACAGATCCTGAAACCCACAACCCTTACCTGGACCCCAAACTTATGTAGAATAACATCCTTCATGATGTTACCTACTTTTGGGGTTTTGCAAACCCTACACCCTGCCCCGAACAGAAAGCATTCTCAGCACGTTGAGGCCCTGTCGGGGCCTATCAGAATCACTTGAACCCTTACAGTAACTCACCCTTCCAGAACCCATAGCCACTTACCCTGGCAGAACCCTAAAACCCTAAACCCCAAACCCTAAACCCTAAACCCCAAACCCCAAACTTCCCTAAACCCAACCCTAAACCCCAAACCCTAAACCCTAAACTTTTCCAAACCCTCAACCCTAAACTCCCCTAAACTCTCAACCCTAAGCCCCTCAAACCCGAACTCCTCTGACGTGCCAGCCCAGGTAGACTTCCGAGATTCCCTCGTGCATCCGGTACACCACCTGCAAAGTTGTCTAAATTAGGGGCCCTTTTGGCAACATTCTTAGCATTAGTAGTGTGAGTATTTGTATTAGTATTAGTATTAGTATTAGTATTAGTATTGGTATTGGTACTAGCATTAGTATTTGTATTTGTGTTGGTCTCAGTATTCGTGTTAGTATTTCTGTTCGCATGAGTATTGGTACCAGTATGAATATTATTAGTAGGGTCCTTTTAATAAGGGTGCCGTACTGTTTGGTGGACCTAAAAAGGGACCCTAATTTAAAAACTACCCTCATACGGCTGATGGACAAAATCCTGCATGACCTTAGATACCTAAACTATGGGATTTATGGTACTATACTATATTTGGGTCATGCAGGATTTTGTCCATCAACAGTAGCACCATTAGAAAAACTCCTAGAAACCCTCATAATCTCTTTAAGGAGCTCTAACATTGGGACCCCAATTTAGAGAACTACCCTTTTCGTACCCTCCGAGAAGCCCTCCCTTTTAAAAGGGCCCTACAAAGGGACCCTCCCTGAACCCTAAACCCTAAACCCCTACAAAGGGACCCTAGTTTAGAGAACTACCCGACGAAAGGCCAAGACTTTTTTGGGGGGGGCCCCGGGCCTTCTCTGGACTCCCAGCTGCTCTCTGCCAGTAGCCACGGGTGTTTGCACATACATACCTATGTCTACATGCAAACAAATAACGGATACATATATATATATATATATATATATACGTACATATATATATATATATATAGATGTCTACATATATATATATATAGTTCTACAATGTGTACACACATGTGCATAGACAGATAGATAGATAGATAGATAGATAGATAGATAGATAGATATGTCACTAGAGTTTGGGTTGCGCCCACAGCATGGTGACTGCATAGCGTCATAGCATCGTGAAGAAGTCTGGTGTGGGTCTCGGGCGTCGTGGGCCTTGTGGCGACTCCTAATTTTCACTCGCAGCATCTCCGACATGGTCGCTGACAAAAAAAGCGCCGAATGGAAATAAAGAGTGCGCTCGCCCGCATGCATTTCCGGGCGGGTTTAGCTTGTCCTTCTCCAGGCTTCACCCGCATGCAGAGTCCAAACTCTAAGTTCTCCTAGAAGCGCTGACATTGCAGATAAGGGAGTAAACCAACTCGGAATTGTGTGCACGCGCTCGAAGTGTTCCATGGATCCAACGAGACCTAGAGGCTCGGATGATAGGACCGCATAGAAAAAGCTGTCGTGCACTTGAAGCGAATTTGCTAAATGCGCTGCTCGGCATTCGCTCTGTCCAACGAGGTTTTGCTCGAATGATTCAGAGTGTCGCCGAGTGCAGTAGTTCGACCACCGGTGCACTCCCTACTTGATCAGAACTAGACAGAACGTGTGATCTTTACTTCAGCTCCAGGTCAGGTCAACAGAACCTGCAGTCCGGATTCTAGACCTCATGTTAGACTAATTCCTTGCTGAAGAGCCAAACAAGCATCATTGAACGTCAATAGACCACACTGGTGTGCGCCATACGCTCCTGACAAATGCAACAGGCGTTGCCATGCTCCTAAAGAAAATAACTGAGCTTCCCCTCAGCACTAAGCACTATCGTACAAGCTGGCTCATGGCTCAAGACCGAACATGCCTGCGCGCCTGTCATGGTGGCCTCGTGGGGTGCCATCTCACTCGACAAAGCGAAAGCTGTGTCCGTACCGTCTGAGATACTGCAGGGGATTGCAAGTTGACGTCCAGGCTCGCTCTTGGGAACACCCGTCCCCGAGGTTGAGAATCCGGATGAAGTCCCTGCGTGCACCTCCAAAGTACCCCCCTTGCCCAGCATGTTGTGGCTGTGAAACTCAGGACGACAAGGTCCGGGTGGCAACGGTTGCGGCATTTCTGCAGGCACGAAATTCTGGCTCTGAGCACATCTCAATGGCCCTCCGCCCCTCAATGGTTCCAAGCAGAGTGGAGCTGCTTTGTTAAAGCCCGGAACAAACTGGCCGTGGATGGTGCCGGTGCTCTTCTGCTCTGCGAAGAAGCGAATCACAGCGAAGCCTCGCGACTTACCATTCGGAAACAGCGGCATCTCAATCTGGAAGTCTGTCAGGCCCTGTGACTCGAGGAAGTTGCGCAAGATTTCCGCATCGCACTTCGCAGGGATGTGACGCAGAAAAAACGCCTGTGCGGCGTCCTGGTCCCGAGCCTGTGCCCTCTGGTGCCGGAACGAAACCATGTGGCTCGAGAGAGGTGTCGAAGATGCGCACCCTGAAACGGACCGAATCCAAGTTGATTGCTCTGCATGAGTAGGCGACTATATCGAGTAAGCCGTCACAGAATCCTCAATGAGCATGCTGAAAGTGAACGGAACCGCTTTGAGCCCACTAGAACACGAAGGATAATTTGCCACAACTGGTGTGCTCCTTGCTCTCCATCCTGATAATGTACTTGAAGCCACTCTTTCTCTTTCTTGTCGCTGGTGGCTTCCATCTTGACTTCGCTCTGTCTTTCTTCTCAACGTAGGGTTTGTTACTGCCTGCTGTCTTTGGATGTGTCCCGTGCTGTGATATTGTACATTGGTCTGCTTCGGTATTTCGCCCCTTGCATCCTTACCTGCTTGTCTCTCTGTAGGTCTCAGTCTGTTTCTCCAACACGAGCCCAGACGTGGAAGGTTTCGTGGTGAGGTCACAGGCTTGAAGTGTGGCTTGGGGCTGAGGGCTTTGCACAGCTCTCTGCATCCTGCCGTCGCTTTCAGACTGATGGAGTTCCGACACCCTAAGGCCTAAACCTCAAAACCACACAGACAATCCAGGTTGCAGCCTGCAAAAGTAGAAGACCCGACCAGCCTCAACGTTGAACCGCGGAGCAAACAAGGCTTAGGAAAGCTTAGGACGTAACCCGGTAGGTTAGGGCCTACCCATAGGCCCCATAGTAGTTCCTTTTTGGGATTACCTAATAGGGTTTAGGGTTTAGGGTTTAGGGTTCCATAGTAGTTCCCTTTTGGGATTACCTAATAGGATCCTAAATATAGGGCACACAAAGGAACTACTATGGGGCCTAGGCCCTAACCGAAAAACCGAGGTTACGGGGCCAGGAGCTCCCGAACCTGGAATCCCAAGGAGGGCTGCAGTTTAGGCTGATGTAGTCGCCTTACCTTAAGAACCCAAAACCTACTTTTTTGTAGGGTCCCTATAAATCCCATATTAGGGTTTATAATAGGAACCTACAAACAAGTGGGTTTTGGGTTCGTAAGGTATATATTTAAAATAGGGTTTTGTGGGCTCCTTATTATAATATATAGTGTTACATACCACAAACCCTAGTCTAATTGTTAAAGCCCCTTTTTTCGGATGGTTTAGGGTTCGCGGTTCCCCCGCACCTTGTCCGGCTCTGCGACAGCGCGAACTGTCTGACCCACCCATTCGTGGACCCTGAAGGGTGCCCAAGATGACCATCGGACCACATTCACCGGGCAGTATTTGAGGAGTGGCGGGGGCCGTCTGTCAGAAAATGAAGGATCCGTTCTCTACGCATCCTTGCAAGAATACTCATTCTGCTACTTGGGTTCTACCTTCCCCTACCTGCAAATCGAAGCTGCAAATGCAGACGGTTCTGAGTTTCCGACCCAATCAAACTCAATCAGCGTCCCTCAACTCTATTAGCCCTATAAGCCCTACCTCAACCTTAAACCCTAAACCCTCCTCGGGTGCGCCGCCACGGATTGCATCGTGAGGTCGAAAAGTGTTATCGGCGTGTGGTCGTTGCGAGGGTCCATGCCGGCCTCTGGGGTTTTGGGGCAACTCGTTCTCGGCGTTCGGGCCGACTGGGTTGAGGTTCTGGGGCTTGCCATAAACTGTGCGAGTTGTCCAAGCTAGGGATTTGCCAGGTCCAGATAGGAACATGCAAGCTAAGGCAACGAAGCACCTCCCAAGGCTAGGGTGCAATCGTTGCTTCTGATGTTCCTGGCCCACACCCGGAATCCTAAAGAAACCCTAAACCCTAAACCCTAAACCCTAAACCCTAAACCCTAAACCCTAAACTACAGCCGAAGACTCCCAGACCCGAACGATTCAAGCCGAAGACTTAGCCCTCAGGCCACAGGATTTAGGAACTTAAGGGCTTAGGGCCCAACGCCCGATTCACATACTTCGAGCAGGGGATCCTTAAAAGAATACAGGGGCCTTAATAATTAGAATAGGGTTTTGGGGGGTCCTTTATAGTATAGTTATAATAAGGAGCCCCCAAAATAACACAGCTAATTATTGAGGCACCTATATTACCCTGAAAGGCACGGATTCCCCGAACCTTCAGCAAGCCTGAGACCCGCACCGCACACCATAACATAGGCGCCTTAACAATTAGAATAGGGTTTCGGGATATATTATACTNNCCAAAATAGTATAGGTAATTGTTAAAATCCCTATATCACCTCAACAGTCAGAGTAGGGTCTCCGAGGGGCCAATAATCTCATGGTACAACTAATTACCATACCTGAAAATACCCCAAGTATTCTGGTAGAACTAACTATCATACAACTCACCATCATACCAGAATATACCCCTAACCTCCTAAACCCTAGTGAAACTATCAAGGCTCCTCACCCTAAGCCCTAAACCCTA